CCGCGGGTGACGGTGCAGGAGCTCCGGGCAGGACAAGTCGTTCGTGTCACCCAGGGGCGCGTCCCCATGGTGGTCGGCACCGCCGGCAGCAAAGCAGCAGCTGCAGGAGGAGCCGGTCCGGGGCAGGAGGCGATGCAGGCCCCTGCAGTCCCCTCCGGAGCCTGAGACCCCCCAGCTGGCACCAGGGACGACCTCCCCCCCAGAGACCTGGCGCCTCCGCTACCTCTCTGTTTGTAACCTTCATCTTTACGTGGGCCCCAAGGCCCACTCAGCTAACTAATAGCCCGCACTCCTCCGCTACCAGGAAGCCGCGGGGCTGCGGGAGGGAGGTTTGCAGCCACCTGCGGGAGCTGTGTGTGCTCCGTCTGGAGCCCCAGCGCTGCAGCAAGGAGCAGCGGCTGGAGCTGGTGGTGCTGGAGCATTTCATGGCCGTCCTGCTGGGATTGGGGGCACGGCGTGGGGCTGTGGCGGGGCCAAAGTGTCCCAGCTATGACAGGTGGAGGATGAGAAACTCCAGCTGAGAGGATTTAGCCCTGGTCATTCATGCTGCCATCCCCGTCTTCACTTGCTTCCTGGTCCCACAGCTCCCCAGTGACATATTTATTATCGCCTTCCCAGGTCATGGTGAGTGTGAAGGTGGAGGAGGTGTCCTCAGACAAGATGCAGCCCACTGGGGCACTGCAGGAGCCTGGTGATTGCTGGCTGGAGCAACCAAAGGCCCATGGTGCCAACAGGTCTCTGGAGGAGGCAGGACAGAGGGGAGCCCTGGCACCTCAGGACAAGCCACGTTATGTTCCCAAAGAGGAGCCCCTGCCCCCCCAGGAGTCAGGTGAGGTACAGGATGGAGGCCCGGGCATGGGTCTGGGTGCTTGAGAGGCTGTCCTTCATGCAGGGGGGAGAGGCTCAGATGTCTGCCCCTGGCTGGGGCAGGGCTGCAGTAAAGGTTTCCCTCAATGTTATATGGGCTCTACATATGCAAATTCACTCTTATGAGATCACCCTTTTTCTACCCAAAATTCCTTATATGCGAGGTAAGTTCACTTTTATGCGATTGGGGCTCCACTTGTCCCCACTCACCCCAGCCCCTGGGCTTCGCCGTGCCACGGTGCAGACAGGTGGTGTCGGCTGCTCCCAGCTCTGCTGCAGCAGCTGGGGTGAGAGGGGAGAAGCGGAGGCCCCAGGCAGCAGGAACTGTGTGTGGGTGCGGGGCGCAGGAGGGGGGTACAGGGTGGGGGGGCATAGCTCTTGCTGCTATGCACACCCCAGGAGGGCTGGGGGGCTGTGTTGAGCTCTTCCCGGGAGGTGCGGGCCCCCAGATCTGCATGCAGGACAACAGCAGGCTGCTGCTGCTGCAGGCTGGAGCTGGCAGCACTGGACTATTCCCAGCACTTGCCAGGCAAGTTGGGGCTACAGTGAATTTTGGGGTGGTCTGATTTTGAATCAATTTAAATCATGATTTACTTCACTAGTCCAGAAGCCTTGATTTAATCATTGTTTTCTACAAAAAGTTCATTCTTGTTCGTTGTTGTTTGATATCCTGTATTCATTTAACTTCTTGAAACCTTATGCTTTTATGGAGAGGTAAGGGCATAACTCTACACAAACTTGCAGAGAGGCAAGAGGGCTGATGGGTAGGTAATCGCCTCTGTTATCTCTCATTCCCATATACTGCTGTTAACAAGGATGTTATCTCTGGAGACACAAATCCACAGTTTGAGAACTGAAACTAAGCATCACAGAGATGTTTAATGGGATCTTCTAGACCAGGGGTTCGCACCCCACAGCACGCGTGCCGAACATGGTACGTGAGGCCATTTTGCTCGGCACGCCACAGCCAGCCCCGGCTCTGGGTAGTTGCTGCCAGCGACCAAGCCCGGGCTGCTCCCAGCAGGCCCAGGCTGGGGGGCAAGGGGCAGCAAGGGTGGGGAGCACAGGGCAGCAGGGCTGGGAGGCAAGGGCTTTGGGTGGGGGCAAGGGGCACAAGCAGAGCATCCTGCCATGTACCCCCTGCCCTCATTTTGTTTTTCTGGCATGCCAGCACTCCGGCACCTTCCAAGGTAGGCATTGTGGTGTTTTTCGGCACTCCAGCCAAAAAATGTTGCCTCCCCCTTTTCTAGACTGAGCACCAAGTCCCATTGGGTAGAGTGGTTTTCTTTAATCTTTACAAATCTATAGAGGAGCCTCTGGGAACCTCATGACATTGGGCCCTAAATATAGTCCATGGTCTGTTGTGACCTTTTTATAAAACTTTTCTGAAGAGGTTACATGCTTATATTGTCTCAAATATTACATAATTATAATTCCTAGCCCATTGTGATGTCTTGAATCATCATAGAAAACAAGGGTTGGAAGGGACCTCAGGAGGGACATCTAGTCCATCCTCCTGCTCAAGGCAGAACCAGCCCCAACTAGATCGTCCCAGCCAAGGCTTTCTCTAGCCGAGTCTTAAACACTTCCAAGGATGTGTAAGGAAGACGACCAAGTTGAACTCTAGATGAGCCTGTGGCCGGCAGGTGCAGGAGAGCAGTGTGCCATGTGGAAAGATTTGAGTGCAGTGCGAAGAAATCTAGTGTGCAGTGTGGAAAATACCTAGGCTGTGTGGAAGTTCCCTGTACGCATGCCATGTGCAAATGTGAGCGCGGTGTGCAGAGGGAGTGTAAAAGGAATTTTCCCCTCAAAGTCTGTGTGTGACTGGGAGTGCAAGGGTTCGAGTGGGGTGTGCTGGTGGGGCAGGGTCAGTGGGGTTCGCTCAGTGTGTCAGGGTGCATGTGAAAGCATGTTGGGAATGCCTGGGAGGTGGGTGAGTGCGCTAGTGAGTCGAGTGCCTGGGAGGTAGGTGAGAGTGCTAGTGAGTCTGGAGTGCCTGGGAGGTGGTGGATCTAGTGGATTTCTATTTGGGAGAGTGCTTGGGAGGTTGCTTCGAATGGATTCTCTGTGTTTTATGCTTGCATGTACCCATGTGTTATGTAGTGTTGTAAATAGTAGGTAATTCAATTGTGTATATATATTTTACAGAGTATAGTGTTCTTTAGGATAAGGTATTTGTATTTTATAGTAACTGGTTGTTCGATGTTAAATTAACCATTTGATTAGTTTATTCTTAAATAGTGTGTGTATAGTCCCTCATTTAGGAAGGGTCCAAGTGCCTGGCTGATTAGATGCCAGAGCTCGAGTCCACTCCCTAGCTCTTCTCTGCCTATGGTTTGTGGGGTGGCCAACATTGGAGTAAAAGTTCAATTGATTTTGGCCCCTGACAGATCTGGCATCCCTGGGTGGGCGTGGTGGAGCTGAAAGAAAGTGTGAGGGACAATTTGTAAGAATTGTGAGGTGAAATAAGCGGGCAGGCGTAGTTGCTTACTCTTGTACTACTGTGGGTCTGTTGAGGGTACGACTGTTTTTGTCAGTGTGTACTACTGTTTGTACTAGTTTGCATAGGAGTGGCAGGCAGTCCTGTTTGCATCAGTGCTGGCGCCACATTGCCTCTGGTGCTGCCTATTGCTTTCCCACAGGAGTGTGTCCTTCCTTCCTGATTGCTACTGCTTATTGCCCTACTCACAGCGAGGGGACTATTGTTTTTCTGCTAGAAGCAGTAACTTGTAGGTTTGTACTGTCTGTCCCAGGGGTGCACTATACTGCCGTTGGTGCTGTCTACTTGTTGAAGCCACAGTAGTTGTTTATTAGGGCTTGGTGTTTACTATTGGTTTTTACTACTTGCTTATTGTTGCTTATTGATGACCTATTATTTTGGTTAATCACCTGCTATGGCTGTTAACAGTGGAGAACAAATTGCAGATATGGTAGTGGAGGTTGATTCCATTGAAAAGCTTGAGGAATGGATTTCAAAGGAGGTAGTGTTAAGAAGTATATGGACTTGTCCACCGGACAAGTGCAGTGCATGGAAAGAATGAGAGCTAGGTTATTGTATCAGGGTGTACAAAACCTTTTGCACCAAGTGGTTAGGGTGGACGCAAAAGAAGAAGCATAGCCACAAAACCATTAAGAAGGCTGTGGTGATAGGCCTATTAGAGGTCATTCATAGATTAATGCAGACATGTCACCGTCTCCAACAGAAGGAGAAAGCCAGCAAAAATCTGCTTGCTAGTAGGACAGAGGAGAGTGAACAGCAGATTAAAGGTCTGGAAAATCAGATTAGTTCATTAAACGGAGACTCTGGGCGGGATGCAGGTGAGATTAAAGAACTGCAAAGTCGAGTTAAGGAACTGGAAGACAAAGTTGACAGAATGACAGTAGAATATGACCAATGGCGAGGAAAAGTGGAAGATATTAGAGCCGCCTTCTGGGCTTTAAAGAAAGAAACAGAGGTGCACACGGGAGATCATAATAAGTGTAACGAGAACATGAGGTCAAGGTCCTAAGGAGCTGTAAATAGTTAGAGGTCTCAGCCAGGACTGTCTGTGCCAAGGGATGGCTATGATAGTGGGTTGGAGTCTGATAGCTCAGATCCCTCCCCAAGTCATAGCGGCAGTGCAGATATCCCTAGGACCCTGAGGAGGATTGCGTCTCCACAAAAAGAGAGTAGCCCCAATGGCACCTATTCGAATCAAAGAGACATTGGCAAATGTCAGGGTACGTACTGAGAAGACCTTAGTGACATTTAACCCTGAAGAACTGTGAGCGTTAGGGAAGTGTATGGGTCTGTTGTCCAAGAAAGCATGTATTGATTGACTCATGGAAATAGGCTTATATGATGATGAAGAACAGTACTCCCTCGTAGATATTGTTGCCTTAGCCCAGCAATGCCCCAAAGGCATTTTGCAGCACTACCCTTCAAAGTAGGGTCTCGTAGTGTGCAGAGTAATGATGAATTAATTGTACAATGCTTTGTTGAATTTGTTTTTTCAGGGTAGACCTGTAGAGGTATTGTATTTTGAATGTCACCAGACTGGGAATGAGAGACTGGAAACATATATATTTTAAGAAAACACATGCTATATGGTGCGGTGAATAGAGGCAAACAAATTATTGACTTTGATTGCCCAGAATTCACTAAGCCTGGTTAAAGGTTTCAATAGAGGCATTAGAACCTACCTTGGTACGTCCTGGAAAGGGTCATCCTGCGATGAGGTGCAGGATATGGCCATGGAGGCATTCCAAGTTCTAGAGGCGAAGCTTATGCATAGAAAAGAAAAGCCCAAGAAACGTAGGGTTTCTGAGGTGGCAGGAGGTGACGTAGGCTGAGATCAACTAGATCTTCCCAGTCAAAACTTTGTCTAGCCAGGTCTTACCAACTTCCAAGGATGGAGATTCCACCACCTCTCTTAGTTTCATAGTTTCTAGGGTCGGAAGGGACCTGGGCAGATCATCTAGTCCGACCCCCTGCCA